ATTTGAAGGTGAAATTAGAGTCCATCTGTTCAGAGGTGTTTTTAATCAGCGAGATGACTTTCAGGTGTCAGTGTGTGCCCTGTTTTATTTAAAGAACAGGGATCTATCAAAGTTTGGTCATGTTTGTGAAAGTGTATCATGGCACAAACAAATGAGATCTCTGAGGACCTCAGAAAAAGAGTTGGTGTTGCTAATCAGGCTAGAAAATGTTTCAAAGCCATCTCTAAAGAGTTTTCGACTCCACTAATCCACAATCAGACAGATTGTGTACAAATGGAGGAAATTCAAGACCACTGTTACCCTCCCCAGGAGTGGTCCACCAACAAAGAACACTCTAAAAGCAAGACGTGTAAAAGTAACAAAGCCTTTCTCACATTGGCTAATGTTAATGTTTATGAGCCCATCATCAGGAGAACACTGAACAACCATGGTGTCCATGGCAGAGTCGCAAGAAGAAAGCCACTGCTCTCCAAAAAGAACATTGCTGCCCATCTGCAGTTTCCTAAAGATCATGTGGACAAACCAGAGGAAAACTGGAGAAATGTTTTGTGGATGGATGAGACCAAAATAGAACATTTTGGTTTAAATGAGCAGCGTTATGTTTGGAGAAAGAAATCACTGCATTCCAGCATAAGAACCTTATCCCATCTGTGAAACATGGTGGTATTAGTATCATGGTTTGGGCCTGTTTTGCTGCATCTGGTCCAGGACGGCTTGCCGTCATTGATGGAACAATGAATTCTGAATTATACCAGCAAATTCTGAAGGAAAATGTCAGGACATCTGTCCGAGAACTGAATCTCAGGAGAAAGTGTGTCATGCAGCACGACAACGACTTCAATCACAGAAGTCGTTCTACCAAAGAATGGTTAAAGAAGAACAAAGTTAATGTTTTGGAATGACTGAGTCAAATTCCAGACCTTAATCCAATTGAAATTTTGTGGAAGGACCGGAAGCAAGCAGTTCAAAGGAGGAAACCCACCAACATCACAGAGTTGAAGTGGTTCTGTACTGAGGGATGGGCTAAAATTCCTACAAGCCATTGTGCAGGACTGATCAGCAGTTACAAGAAACGTTACTTGCAGTTATTGTTGCAAAAGGGGGTCACACCAGATACTGAAAGCAAAGATTCACATACTTTTGCCACTCACAAATATTTAACACCGGATCATTTTTCTCAATAAATAAATGACAAAGTATATATTTTTGTCTCCTTTGTTTAATTGGATTCTCTTTGTCTACTTACAGGATTTGTGTGAAAATCTAATTATGTTTTGGGTCATATTTATGCAGAAATATAGAAACTTCTAAAGGGTTCACAAACTTTCAAGCAGCACTGTATGTACACACACACACACACACACACACACACACACTCATATATATATATATATATATATATATGACTTTTTTACATCTGGGTAAATATTTTTTTAAATCAAGAAAGCAACAACTAAACAGATCATTCCAACACTATTTGTGATCATTGACCACAAAACCAGTTATAAGGGTCAATTTCTTGAAATTGAGATTTATACATCATCTGAATGCTGAATAAATAAGCTTTCCATTGACGAATGGTTTATTAGGATAGGACAATATTTGGCCGAGATACAATTATTTTAAAATCTGGAATCTGAGGGTGCCAAAAAAATCAAAATATTGAGAAAATCGCCTTTCAAGCTGTCCAAATTAAGTTCTTAGCAATGCATATTACTAATCAACAATTAAGTTTTGATATATTTACGGTAGGACATTTACAAAATATCTTCATGGAACATGATCTTTACTTAATATCCTAATGATTTTTGGCATAAAAGAAAAATCGGTCATTTTGACCCATACAATTTATTGTTGGCTATTGCTACAAATATACCTGTGCTACTTATGACTGGTTTTGTGGTCCAGGGTCACATTTAATAAATACATTTTAAAACTTCATATTTATGTATTTGCTATGTATACACTTTCATTCAAAAGAGTGGGATCATTAAAATGTTTATTTTTATTGAAAATGTTTCTTGTATTTGATCAAAAACAGTAAAAACAGTAATATTGTGAAATATAATTACAAATTAAAATAATATTTTTTTTTATATGAATACATTTAAAAAATGGCATTTATGCCTGTGATGACAAAGCTGAATTATTCAGCATGCATTACTCAATTCTTCATTCTAATATGTTGGTTCGGTCCTCAAATAACATTATTATTATCAATTATTATTACCAATTATCAATGCTGAAAGATTTTGCGGAAACCATGATATAAAAATTACAGCATTTATTTGACTTTTGATAAATTTAATGCATCCTTGCTTAATAAAAGTATGAATTTCTTCCGAAAAAATACATTACTGATCTTATATGAAGTTTTTAATGGTTTGGTGTATTTAACGATATTGTAAATGGTAAAAAAAAAAAAATGCTTTGGTATTAATAGAACTAGACTTAATGTTCACTTGGCTCTGAGAGGTAAGGTTGGGGGGAGGTGTCTGAGGTCAGGGGTGACCAATCACATTGCTACATTATTTGTCTTGGATCTACAGCATATATACTGACTAATTCAGTGTGTTCAAACTTCAGGCTGTGCTGAAATCCCCCTTCTAGTAAACACACTCGAGTACACTTAAGCAGACACGCTCTCTCTTACAAAAAACACATATACACACCAAAAGGCTGACTCTATCAACATGATTGATGCCTGCTTTCTGGCTGCCTTTCCACCAGCATGAATTTGTGGA